CTCGGTTCAATAATAATAGTTCGGTTCCATTGTCCCCATGCCAAACCACTGTTAACAGTTCACTATAATAAGTGAAATGCTATTTCCTTCGATGTTCACCACTTTGGGATGCGTGGAAAAGAAGAATTGAGAATAGCACTATCACACAATTACCTACATTATTTGAACAGTAATCCATGGATATGTTAACCGAACTACTTATTGCCACTAATGTACTTAAGGCATCCAATACATATTCGAACATAGGTATCAATGCGATCCTTTGAATATAATAAAAAAAGAATTCCCATGGTAAACATATAACTATATTCGAAACTCCGAAAACGATCACCGCTATTATATTCAAACAAGTGCCCATATCCAAAATGAAACAATAATTGTTTACCTCGCAAATGTCGGACACTCATCAAGAAAATCGCCACAAGTCGTCGAACGCGATCATGGCGGAACTAAATGACCCAAACAACAAGATCAGTATATCTATCTTGAGACGATAACAGTGAGAGGAGAGACGACGGTTGTTTGATGGAAAAACAACAGGGGCAGTCGGTTAACTACCCAATAACCGGCCGACGAGGGAACTAACGGAAGTAGCTATAGTCGATGATAGTGACCACGCGACCATACGTTGAGGGCAGCAGCGAGAGAGTGTATGCAATGGTGTTTCAAGGCTGTTCATGGTGCCATTCAGACTAAATCCGACTAATTCGGCCATTACAACCAACCCCCGGTGAGACGAGCGACCACGACGAACGTGAATAACACCATGGTTACTGACCCCACTACTGCGATATCTCCTTCCAGATTGTTAGCAAAGGCATCGAAAAGTTCGAGCTTCGTAAGATTTCGCAATTCGACGGGATGTTTTCCGGCCAACTCATTGTTGTAAAGCTCAAGCTGCCATAGCTTGTGAAGCTTTCCGATCTCCATGGGAATCTCACCGAACAGGTAATTGTATTGAAGCTCCAATTCTATAAGCTTAGTGAGGTCTCCAATGGCGGGTGGAATCTTCCTCTCGATGGGGTGAAGAGAAGCTGCTCCAACTCTTCAATCCACTGGCAGCACTCATACAAAATACTTCTCAAATCTTGCAATGGTATACTGTAGAAATGGAGATGGCTTCCACCCGATCTGTTGCCTCTCCTTTGTTTTATACTCCAAAATAGAAGACTCCCTCAGCAAAAGACGTGAGGTGAGGTGATCGTGGGTGCAGTACTAGTTTCCCACGAAAAAACGATTTGAGATACGTGGGGTCCCATGGTACCTACAAAATAATTATATATAAATTAATAATAATAATAATAATAAATACTAATAATAATATAGACTATATAATATATATATTTCAAAAAAAATATTTTTTAAACTATATATTATATTTTAAAAGGTTTTCAAAACTATATATTATATAGTTTTCAAAAATGATTTTAAAAATATTATATAAGTTTTCAAAAATATTTTTTTAAAACTATATATTATATAATTTTTCTAAAATGCTTTTTAAAAACTATATATTATATTTTCAAAATGATTTCAAAACTATATATTATATAATTTTCAAAATGTTTTAAAACCTATATATTATATATAAGTTTTCAAAAACATTTTTAAAAACTATATAATATATATATTTTCGGAAACCATTTTTTAAAAACTATATATTATATTTTTCAAAAATATTTTTCAAAAATTATACTCTATTATTATACATATATATACATACAATAAAATAAATAAATAAAACAAGCTAAATCCGGACGAAAATGAGTGTCTACAAATTATTTTTGAAAATTATGAACAAATTCAATTAAGTCCAAAAACATTTGCCTTTAAATTGTTATATCAAAATATAGTTTCAACACATATCAATAATGAACATAAGATTCATCACAACAAGAAAGGTTGTCGTTGCTTGGAAAGTCAGTGACCAAACATTAAGATAAGTGAAGGTTATCTTGAAAAGAAAATTGCTTTCAAGATAAAAATACTTAAATTATGTGGGAAAATATACATCAATTTCTAGTAAAAATCTAGAGCAACCACTTTGATAAAGAAAATGCACTTAGAGATGGAAGAGGCATCAAGACTATATATCTAACTACAACAGAGACCAGAAGTAGGTGTTTATCAAGAGAAAAAACATTTCTTCTGAAATTTTAAACCAAAGATACAAAAACTACAAGATATGATGGACATGATTGCACATGAGATGATAAGATTGTTCTTTAGAAAATACAAGTAAAATAATATGTTACCTCACTAACATCATGACAAATTCTAGAAGAAAATGATCGATAGAGGAAGATTGAGGTCTTTACTTTGAAGAGAGAAGAAGAATGAGGATCGATATTTATGTATCAATGAGAACAAATAATTGCATTCATGATTTTATACATAGATGCATGATTTTCACAAGTCTTTCAAGGAAAGAAGAAGATTTGTGATGATAAGATCTCAAGAAGTGATAACCAAACTTTCAACTTAAAAATGGAGGAATATTCAAAGTGGCAGAACTCTTGGAATGGTGAAACTCAACCTATAAATGCGTCATAGTCTTGATGAAGGGGAATGATATATGATTATTGAAAGAAATAAAACTAATTTCTAGAATATTTCTCGATTGTAAGTCCTTCGGGCCATAAATAAGTATTTCAAAGATGTTGTTCAGATATTCGAACAGACGATAAGTCTTTCGAACATGATGATTAAGTCATTTAAACCATCTATAAGACCTATGAGAGTGAAGACTTCAACAATTTTTAGAAAAAAATGAATTTTAAATTTCTCAAAACATTTTATTGAAAGAAAAGAGAAATTAATTTTTAGAAGATTTATCAATTAGTAAGTCCTTCAGGCTATAAGTAAGTATTTTGAGCATGATGTTAAGACCTTCAAACCATCAATAAGTCTATCGAACATGATGTTAAGACATTCGAGCCATTATTAAGTCTTTCAAGCATGATGTTAAGTCGTTCGGGCCAATTTTAAGACCTTCAGACATAATGTTTTAATAAGAAAATGTGAGTAGATGTCCTCAATGCAAATGAGCAATATCGTCTTCAAACTAAACATTCCCAAATAAAAGAGCGAATCATTAAAATATGACGAGACATCGTCAATGCAAAGGAATAATGTTGTTTTTAGATTTGACGTCCTCAAACAAAGGAGCAAATCATCCAAACACATAAAGTAAACCCTTCCCCACATGTATTCGAATCCCAAACTCATTTTCTGATACATAGATCTAGAAATTGTTATTTTAAATTTTTTTATTAAAATCAATTTAAAATAACAAATCTTTTTAAGTGATCCAATCACACCCTAAACACATTTTGATGACAACTCCTCAAACCATATTTTTATTAAAAAAAGCCTCAAATTCGTTGAAACGACTTTAAAGTTATAATTTTTGGAACATGTCGACAATACTAAGTTAGAAAAACTAGTTTTTCACACGACACGCTACGATTGACTGTTTTTTAAACCATCATTATTTTTAAGGTAAAATGGATAATTTTATAAATGTTAAAGGTATTATTGATACAAAAGTGATAAATACTAAATTGAGAAACACATAAATGTTAGTAAAAGTGAACATTCAATCTAGTGGAGTAAAAAATCGAGTTATTTGAGTTGACGAATCGTATTTTATGTCTCAAATTTTATTTGAATTTTTTTATTTGAGTCGAGTTGTTTGAGTTTCTACACAAATTTAATTGTAATTATTTATAATATGAATCAATTATAATATATCGAATTTCTCTAACCATATAAGATATACATATATATTTCTTCACATTCTTTTTAATATTGTAATATTATTTAATAAATCGAATATAATCTAAAATTATAAAATATATTTATAATATTATTTTTTTAAAGAAGGTATTTTGAGGATAAAGTATTGATTGGAGCATAAAGGAGTCAAGAAATTGATGAGAAGAAAGAATTTATAAAAAATGTAGTTAAAAGATCAAATTGAATAAAATGCAAAATTAAAGACTAAATTGAAAAATAGAGTAAATTCACATTTAAAAATAGGAATTGAAGTTACATAGATATTCTATAGTGGTAGAGGAGCATATGATTCAAATTTGAAAAAAAAATGGACTTAAAATAATAGATTAAATGAAGAAATAAATTAATCATGTAAAATTATGAGACTAAATTGAAAAGAAGAAAAGAAGTTTTATTATCAAAAAGAGAAATTGAAGATACATAGGTACTCAACAATAGTCTAAGACTATGTGGTTTAAATTTGATAAAAATAGACTCAAAATAAAGGAAGAATTGAAGGAATAAGTAAATTAAAGACCAAATGATAAGTCTATCAAAATACTCAAAATAAAATTTTTATTTTTCGATTGATTCAAAATTTTTAAAATCCCACTCAAGTCAAACTTGATAATTTGAATTGAATCAAACAATATAAAATAACTCGACCAAATAACTCAAAATAAAAAAAATTCAATTTTTAAATTAGGTTGTGTTTTACTCACCCTAAAATGTTAGGCCAAAAAATGTATTAAGCTTTGTGGTTGGCAAAATCACTATAATAATGAATTGATTTTTTTATTTAATGGTGCTCTGAATTTATTTTTCAAATAAGATGTTTTATACAATACATAATGATATATATAGAGTATTTAACGTTTTTGTGATAATAAATAAAAGATCTGACGTTTTTTTTATATAAAAAAGAATGAACATATATGTACAGTCGATATAAAAAAGAATGATAAAATATATTAAATCTTTCATACGTCTTTATGATGGCCTTAAATAATTCATGTATTTTCCATAGATATTAATTATTTCAAGGTTTTTTATAAAATAATTTTGACAAGATAATATATTAGAAATTATTTTTTCCCACCTCATTATTTATGTGAAGTTATAATAAATCCAAATATAGAAAAGAATAGGAATTCCGCTTTTCCCTCGACGCAAGTAAGGTGCCGGTTTAAACTTCCGAATTCTACAAGCTACCTCAAACGGGTCGGGTCATTATAACCCTATATAATAAGTCCCCAAACAAACAAGGTCCGGCAATCCGATATCCCAATCTACCATAAACCATGTCTTACGGAGGTGCTACGAACATGATGGCACCGGCGATTGGTGGCTCCTCCTCGGCATCGTCGGTAAAGCAAGTGAAGTTGGAGAGGGAAAGCGAGCTCAGAATCGAGGTGGGTAATGAAACGCCGCTCAAACTTAGATTACTTAACGGCTCGGCGGAGATTTTCGGCTCCGAATTGGCCCCTGAGACGTGGCTCACTTTCCCTCCTCGCGTCAAATTTGCTGTAAGTGAATGATAATGCGGTTTTTGATAGGGTTATTGTTCTGATTAAAGTAAAACTTCAAAAACTTTCTTTGTTATTTTATCTTTGTTTCGATGCGTTTTTGTTTTATTTTTCAATTGCTTTCCAAATTGAGGGAGTTATATTACAACATGGTGCTTCGTTTCATGCATTTTTTTATTTGTTTATACAGTGTGGTATTAAAGGGAATTTGTTCATTTATAGGTTTTCACTTGGTATGGTGCTACAATTGAGATGGATGGTGCTACTGAAACTGATTATACGGCAGATGAGGTATCTATTTCTTCAAAGTTAGAATCCTGTGATTGTACATGGTAATTTCTGATGCTGTTGCAATGGTTGATTTGCAGACACCTATGATCAGTTACGTGAATGTAAATGCTGTACTAGATGCCCGGAGAAAACGTGCTAAAGCTTCGTCACCAAATGATTCTGAAGCATCCAAGGTATTTTATCATTTCTTTCTTATAACAGAATACTTGAAATGAATAGTGTAGGGTTGATAGTGTCAGATATGGCTATTTTCTCGACATGGGTATGCTTAATTTTTCCCCATATTTTTTTTATATGTGTGTGTGCGCCCGCCCGTGCGTATGTGTATGCACACCCATGTGTGTGTGTGTGTCAACGATGTGTCGGAAGTAACTATAAAGACTGGTGTTTTAGAGAAATGAAGAGTCCGGGTTTTTTCACGTGTAGCTTTAACAAGAATTATGAGATTTGGTTTTAAGTTAAGACAATGCTGCTTTGGTAGCGGTTTATCTTTTTTGACTACATCATCAATTTTATAGGCTTCTATTATCATATTACACTTATACCAACCATTTTTGGTATTAATAATACCCTTAAAGGATTTACTTTTTGTTCCTTCATTTCTCCTTTTGCTTTGGTTTCTCCGTGCTCCATTCCATGTAAGCTAATAGCAGTTGTTTACAGCTCCATGTGAAATGCACAACTTTGTTTATTTTATCTCAATGTGATCTTTTTGGTGGTCCAGGGACCCAGAGTGATTGTTGTGGGGCCTACAGATTCTGGAAAGAGCACCTTATCAAGGATGCTTCTTAGTTGGGCAGCTAAACAAGGTTGGAAACCTACCTTTGTGGATTTAGATATAGGCCAAGGATCTATAACTGTTCCCGGAAGTATTGCCGCTACACCAATTGAACTGCCCATTGATCCAGTGGAAGGAATTCCTCTTGAGATGCCTCTTGTTTATTTTTACGGTCATACAACTCCTAGGTAAGTAATTTTTTGGGTTTCTTTTGGTCATATACTTTCTTTGGACTAAAGATGCAGCTCATAGGTAAGTAATTCTTGGGTTTCTTTTGATCATATACTTTCTTTGGATTAAAGACAGTCTGATTGATACAAATGAGAAATTTTCTCTGGACAAATGCTTTTTGTTAGATTCAATTGTCATTACTAATTATGATATTCAAGGATCTTGTTTTCTGCAGTAATAATGTAGATTTGTATAAAACTATTGTGAATGAGCTTGCTCAAATGCTGGAGACTCAATTTTCTCGTAATGCTGAATCTCGAGCTGCTGGCATGGTTATCAATTCTATGGGTTGGATAGAAGGTACCGGCTATGAGGTAATGAAACGTGAACATCCTAAAGATGTAAATGTTGATAAAGTGATTGATATAAAAGAGTATTATTGTTTCTCTCCTTCCCTTTCTGTGTTTCCAAATTTTATTGATGTAACATATCTTAACACAGTTGCTTCTTCATGCAATTGATACATTCAAGGCCAGTGTCATCTTAGTTTTGGGTCAGGTAATGAACAACATTATCCTTTCTACTCAGCCAAACTAAGCTGTTCTGGAAGCATTGCTTTTATGTTGAGCTTATTATTAAAATATTTATTTATTTCATTTTTTTAAATATTAGAGATATTTTGGATGTCTAGTATTATAAGTTTCCTTTATGTAAGCCCAGTGTAAATAAGCTGTAAAATAATTAGTGTCACAACTTTTCTTCTAATTATTGTTATGATGATGATGATGTTCTTTGACTTGATAGAAAAAACTGGAGGTTTTCCATAACCCTGAATTTTGTTGAGTTCCATCTTTTTTCCTATTCGTATTTCAGTCATAATTATGCTGTTTTACTGCTGTTTTTCTTCTTAACCACGTTTCTTTTATGGAATGTGTTGCTTTAGACTTCCAACTTGTAGACTTCAATCCAAACGCAATTATTGCTGCTACTGGAATTATTCTTAAATTAAGAATACATGGATCTTTCTTGTTTCGTAGTTGTGTTTGTTTATGAAGTAATCTTTCTAATCCCTTTGCAGGAAAAACTTTTCAGCATGCTCAAGGCTGTTGCAAAAAATAAGCCTAATGTGGATGTTGTGAAGCTTCAGAAGTCAGGGGGTGTTGTATCAAGGAATGCGAAATTTCGTCAGAAGGCTAGAGGTTACAGGATAAGGGTAAATGCTACATTTATCTGTGGATAGATTCTTTCATTTTTTATCGTAGTTTCCTTCCGTGTTTGTTTCACCTGAAATTCATTGTTTCATTCATGCTTGTGAGTTGTGACAACCTTGTCAAGTAAAAATTGAATATTAAGCATGAAGAATGATAAAATGGACAACTTTGATTTTTGTTAACATCACAATGCAATGAATTATTGTTTTTGTTTCGTATCTCTTTGCGTTTAGGCAACCAAATTTTATACTTCGTTTTAATTGCATTGTGATAGTCCAGTTCATTGATGCCTTAAAAGCTTGTTTCCTTCTATTTTCTATAATTTGTTCCTTCATTTAGATGGCAATGCTCTTGATTTTGTATACTTTACGTTTTGTTTTCATCCTCCTGACAAAGCAAGTACATGCTGCAAATTCTTCCAGGAGTACTTCTATGGCCTCACAAATGATCTTTCCCCGCATTCTAATATTGCAAACTTCAGTGATCTGCTTGTCTATCGAATTGGCGGTGGTCCACAGGCACCAAGATCGGCTTTACCAATTGGTGCAGACCCTGTTGCTAGCCCTCTGAGAGTAACACCTGTGAATATCGACAGGGATTTGCTTCATATGGTTCTTGCTGTTTCATATGCCAAGGAGCCTGATCAAATTTTGTCAAGGTTAGTTGTTTTTTCTTGAATGTCTGACTAGGCAGCACAAGTGGTTTTTTAGATCTATCCTATATAAGTCGATAAGGCTCAGATCGGTTTTACTATTATTTTAAATGTCTAAGAATGACCAAATTTTCTCAAGGCAAGTATAGAAAGTATCTACTTAGCAATTTTATAAATTTCTAGTCGTCAGTCAGTCATTGGGATAAATACTTGAGGTTTCTACTGTTTTTGAGTGTTCAAATTGACTGCTGGCACAGTCGGTACTTTCAACCTGTTATATAAATCTAACCTCAGTTCCATTTTATGTTATTCCGACTTTTCATTTCTTTTGATCCTCCAAGGATCTTCCAATAAAATGGAAAATTTGGGAGAAAAATTGGACATTCCCCGTAGTCCAAGTAACATAGGTACCGTTTTGTCACGTGTATAGCAGACCGCTAGCTTACACGACTACAAAATTTACCTGTTGAGCAACCTACTAACGACCGGATTTTTTTTGTCGCAGTAATGTTGCTGGGTTTATTTACATCACTGACATTGATATTCAGAGGTTGGAATCATGTGCTTCAATAATCACTTTAATTATAGCTTCTTTTACGTTTCTCATTAACAATTTGTGGATTTGTAGGAAGAAAATAACATACCTTGCACCATCAGCTGGGGAATTGCCAAGCAAATATCTTATTGTGGGGACCTTGACTTGGCTTGAAACTTGAACATTCTTTTGATCAAATAATTGTTACAGGTGTTCAAGTTCATCCTCAAACCCAGAATTCTACCTGCAAATTTCTCAATTTTCTACTATTTGTAACAACGGAGCTTCAGTTAACAAGTCCAATGGCTTGTACTTTTAAAGCTGTTCTTTTATGTTTTCAGTGGCTTGAAGGACAAACCGGTGCAGTCTTTGGTTGCCTGTTCAATTAGTTTGATTAGTCTGAGTTGTTGAACTAGATGGTGTAACTAAAAATAATTATTTAAATATTTATCATATATTTGATTTTAATTTAGATTTAATTGATTTAAAATCTTTAAATTGCATCCTATATAGAAAACATTTTTTTAAGGCATACTGTCAAAATTAGCCCCAATGTTTATTAAAATGATTATTTTAGCCCTTTCTTTTAGTATTTTAATCCTTAACATTTAATTTTAGGGTAAAAAGGTTTGAAATGTTTTTATTAAATAGGCACTTAAACTTTTATTCTTCAAGTTAAATCTTTTTTAAGCATTTTGGTTCATAATGTTTCTTTTTAGGGTACATTTTTATTTTTTAGTTTGGAGTGTTAATTGTCTATTAACTAATAGTTTTTATTCATAGAGTGGTCTTTTTTATCTTAAAATAAAATGTTAGATAAAAATGCTCAAAAATAAATAGAGGTTAAAATGATTTTTTAGACTAGTGTTAGAGATATGTTTTTTAGGAAAAAAAATACCTTGATCTTTGTACTTTTAAAAGAAATTCAATGTGACCCTTAAATTATTTTTGCACTTAGTGTGACCCTCGAATTTAAAAAAAGAACTTAATGTACTCTTTTAACTAACGATTTTCATCGTTAATTGTTATGATGTTGATGTGACATTTCACGATATTAACATGACAATTAATGGTTATTGATAATATGATAAATGAACTAAATTGATTTTTTTATTAAATTCAAGAGTACACTTAATTTTTAAAAATTCAAATATTTATTTAATTTTTTAAAATTATTTTGAATTTATTCCCTTGCAAAAACTCATGTATATATATATATATATATATATTTGAACTCATTTAAAAAGTACTCATGCATTGATTGCTCAAGTTACAAGATCATCTCGAGCATAAATTTACTATAATCTAATCATCATTCTTCGTCTCAAAGAACTCCACAATCCTGTATTTTTTAATCTTCTCGATTAGAGACTCCTGCAGTAGGTGGGAATGCTAGGCTCTTGGAATGGTTCTAACTATATGACAAAAAGCAAAATTCAAATTCCTAAAGTAAGTTGCCTCCTCAACTCTAACATCCTCCAAAGGTCTACATCCTCAATATCTGGGACTAACCCATCCCTTGCATCTTCGGCACGAGATGCACGAGTCTTCTTCTTACCCTTCAAGCTATACTTTGAAACCATCACCAAAACCCCAGCTTTGGAAGAGTACACTCGTAGACTTAGGTGCATAAATTCACTGACATCTTATAATGACTTATTGGGTTGACCTAGAAGAAATTTAACCTAATCTTTCGTGCCATAAAATATAACACCCAAACCTATCTTAGAATAATCGATAAATCAGATGTGTCTTATTGGGTCACTAGAATGATTGGCAAATTAGAAACCATTCATTTTACGCTTAAATACGAGATCAACCTTGTAAAAACACTAAACGGGATAGAAAGCGTAATCTTGCGAGTTTAAAATAGTTGTATAGAATTAGAGCTTCGTTTAACAATCCCAACCTACGTAAAAAACAAATTAATTAACAAAAAATATATTAAAATCCTATAAATATATACCCACTAATAAATGAAGTTGTACTTTGATGAATGCGCTGGAATTCTTCATCGATGATGCTCCTTTAGCACGAACTCAAATAAAACTAATACGTATACATAAATAATTTGAACGTTGAGTTTTACAAGCTCAGTGGTACACATATACTCTATTATATTTTATAAAGTTCATAAACATAAGCAAAGAGATATGGGCATATAACCGTCTTAACTTATTAGCTAAGTAACATAGTTTAACAAATACATAAGCGAATAGAGTAGCATATGTCGAATCACATTATATGTTACCTTTTTATAGTGAACTTTCACAATACCATAATAATGGTCATATCCACACAAATCAATCTACTTACCTATAAAGTAGATCGTACTAATAAGTTTCACTATACTGTATATTTATTAGGTATCTAGATGGTCTTGAGCCACTATAGTCGAATATCTTATTATAATTTCGAATGTTCATATTACTTTCACTAAAGTCGCACAAATAGATAATTTTCATAAGCTACATATAATCATATTATCATCATACCTATTTATCATAACAACACCACTTAGATATATATGATACTCACAAACTAAGCACAAGCCTTCATCATAACTTTATCACATATTCATAATTTAGAGTTTTCTTATTTTAATTTTATTAAGCATAGTATTTTGATCATTTCAGCTCAAATGAATCTTTATTAGCCTTAATTAGCAATGAAGAACAATTTAAAACATTGTTAAATTATTTTTAAGCTAATAACTACAAAAGATATTGATACTTCACCTTGAGTATCTATACTCAATTGGGGATACCGATACTCATAATAGAGTATCAATACCAAAATGATGTACTAAAATTTGTTAAAGTATCGATACCATATAAATGAGTCTCGATATTGTACGAATAATATTAGTACTAAATGAAAAAAGAATCTATACCGCTCTTTGAAAAACATAAATTTTAAAGGTATTTACATGGTATCGATACTCATTCATTGAGTCTAATTACTTAAATTTAGAAAACTCAAATAACCTATAAAATTAATTTATTTTTATAATTTTTGAAATTATTTATGTATTATATTTTTATTGTATTGATATAAATTAATTGTGTAACTTTATATTAAAACTAAAGAATAGCTTATTGGTTGCAAAACATATGTACATGAAAAATGATAACCCAAATTCGAGATTATGAGACATAAATTTAATTTTAATTTTTTATATGAATTTATTATAATACTATATTGTTTTATACACCATCGCATCATCAGAAATATGCTGCGAAAAAGAAAGCCAAAAAATAAGAAATAAATGTCTGATGCTTTTAGCAATCACATGCACGAACAGTGGAGAGTAGTCGGCCACATGATTTTATGCACAAATTGTGGACAGATTTAAGCATTTTCTTTTGCAGATTTAATGTATTCGAATCTTGAAAAGAAAATATAACTAAAGAATACAAGTTCATTATTGACACAGTAATGTATTGGAAAAATCAGCAGTTCTAGATTCTGTTCAGTTTAATGTAGTAACTTGTATAAATGATGGTTTCCCCCCCAGGAAACAATCAACAATGTCAAACAATTTTCAGAAACTGAATTGGACGTCTACAAGTATATGATATCCATCTATGAAACTTTCCCAGAATTTGATGTCTGGTTACTGATTCTGGAAAAAAAAATTGCAGCATTTTCCAGGAATTTTTTTTCTTCAAAATCCTAGAAGAAGATAGTACACCAATGCCACAGGTAAGGCAATGAGCATACCGAAGATTACCCTGAAACAAACACCAAATCAAACCTCATTATTTTCATTTTAAAAAAACAAAACAAGATCTTTTAAGGAGTATATATTATGATTACCCTGTGCTTAATATATCAGGATGAATATTGTACTCTTTGGCGAAAACAAATGGAACGACTCCTTGAGGGAGAGCAGCCTGCACGATTGCCACTCTCAATAATCTGCCTTTAAGTCCGAGGGTGGTAGACGCTGCTGCCATTAGAGCTGGTCCGGCCATGAATTTCATCCCCATCGCTACGGCTGCCATTCGAATACCGCAGGCTATTATGCTTGGCCGTGATGCCATGAACAGACCTATTAAGTGACAGCAACAAATGAATATTGATTGTGGATGTAACAGATGTTATCAGAGAGAGTCGAAACAACATAACTCGTACCTAAGCTGAACATCGCCATGCCAAGTCCTCCACTTGATAGTATCGCTATTGATTTTTCAACAATGGCAGGGAACTTAATGTCCACTACAACAGATATCAGCCCTCATTAAAGAAAACTAAACAAATTTCATCTTCAATGCTGCTTGAAAAGCCAACCTGAATTGAACGCTTGCCCATATAAGTCCCAGTACGGTTGCATGTGTATTTGGGTTCGTCATTAGCTTCTTCCCCACTGTCATGAAAATCTGCTTTGCTTTGGATTTCTTTGCTCTGGTTTGTGCCGCATCTTCTCCTCCCTCTTTCCCTTGTTCTTCTTCAGGGTGCTCTTCGTCCCCTTCTTTTCAGAATATTAAAATAACTATGCTATCATATATTTAAATCATATGGAATTTGGACCCACTTGATTTATCTTTTGCTACTAAAGTTGACTGAAAGTAGCTTGGAATGCAAACCACCACTGATGTTTATGAAAAATCAATAAAAACTTTACCTGAAGCAGCTGCTACGGTCTCAGAGGAAGCTTTGGTAGCATTTAGCTCAAACAAAAGCAAGAGCAAATTATACCAAATTAAACTTTGTAGAACAACAATCTGAGCCAAAAGGGTGGCCGACATATCTCCATACATGGCCCTCAACAGTGGGATTCCGAGAATTAAAGTGTTCGGCATCGTCGATAAGGAGAGGCCGGTTATGATCGACGGCAAACCGCCACGGGAAGTGAGCTTAGTGACGGCAAACAGAACGAGGAAAGCCAGTAGCTTCTGCAGGAAATCGGCGAGGATGAGTTTGAGGTTCATCTTGTAAGGGTTGTTTTCGGAGATGACTTGGAAGGACAAGAGTGGGATTGAGAATTTGGCCACGAACTTGTTGATGCCTGCGCATTGTTCTGGGGTGAACAGCTTCATCCATTTCACGGATACGTAGGCTAAAATCATGGCGAAGTATAAAGGGACAGTGGCTGCCACCACATGATAAACATCTGCCAGGGAAATCATGGTGAAACCACTGATATAAACAACAATGTCTGGTCTTTTTTCTTAATATCAACCTTGGAAATGAACCTCTTTATGTATGCTCTATTGGTTTTCTTCGTTCAGATTTATAAAAAGAAAGAAAAGTGAGGAAAGATCGGTTCCTGAAGAAGAAGCTTGATATTCCCAAAAATGGCCTTTGGGTTTAATTACAATGTTTCAAGTTACAAAATTCGATTATTTTCAACTCCAAATTTAATTTAATTGATTCAAAAGATTTTTTTATTCATTTTCCTTAATATTCCTAAAATGTAATCAGGGTAAACTATGCATTTAGTACCTAAACTATCAATTTTAGTCTGTTATAGTACCTAAACTATCAATTTTAGTCTGTTATAGTACCTAAACTTTCATTTTTTTCAAAATCATACCTAACATTTAGTTTTTGTTTCATTTTAATACCCACAGTTAAAGACTTAACAGATGGGCTCACCGACCGCCGCGTCTATAGTCATCGACTGTTGCATTCGTCAGTCAATGAAGCCCAAACTTTCTAATCCGCCCCTTTTCGACCTCCTAAACGCGATTGTGACATCCGTTTCAACAAGGAACGCCTCAATCTCCATAAATCAACGATGGACTCTTCGATTTCTTTATCCTCCAATTCCCATGGTCCACCGTCTGATGGTCATTCTCTAGCGGTCTATCATTCCGATTGAACCTCCATCTACCGAAGTTATGTCATGTCAGTCCGTCTATTAAGTTTTTTTACCGTGGGGTACTAAAATGAAATAAAAACCAAACGTTAAGTATGATTTAAAAAAAAATGAAAGTTTAGGTACTAAAATAGATCAAAACTGATAGTTTAGGTACTAAATATACATTTTACCCATTTAATTAAAATGTGTGTGAAGATAAACTAATTTATATTAAATTTGAATACAAAATATTAATGGAGAAGTTTGCTTAATCCATTTTCTAAAATGATCATAAGATTTAGACTCGGTGAGTGGACATCACACTAAAAGGAATGTTCTTTTTCCCTGTATACTTAAATTCAAACAATTATATCTATAAAGTGTGTTATTAATAGGGTAAAACAATTCTAAATAGATACATCATCATTCGGTTCATTAATTATATTATAAATCATCAATACATCAAATATTATTTTTTTTCCTTCACGTGAACTACTAAAACTTTTTTCTTTACATGTATTTATTTATTTATTTGCTGTTGAAGTATAAGAGACAGGTGAGCATACAAGTATAAAGAAGAAGGGAAAGTCAGGGTAGTTTTGTCATTATGGATTGAAAAGGTGGATTCCAGTTTCCTTGTGGTTATGTTTTACTGGTTCCGCTCTTCTTTATGGAAATGGAGGGAGGGCTTATACATATAGGCTAAACCCTAAAAAATAAACAAAATCATAGCACTTTCTTTTGATTTTTCATGAATTCAATCTCAAAGACCAAACGAAGAGTCATGTTTGTTTTATTTTTTCTTCTTCGTTTAAAAAAAAAAAAATCATATTTTTGAGTTATTAAAGGTCATAAAAAAGGAAAAAGACATTTCTTTACTAAATGTATAAAATCATCTTGAGAAAATCAAATAAATTTTCTAAGCTAAATCTAAACAAATCATTGTTGGATCATAGAAATAACACAAAGGGTTATCTTTTGAACCCATGCAAACCTTTTTTAAACAAATTCATTTTTTTATTAAGCGGAGATATTATATTGCAAAGGTAAATGTCGAGGATCGAACCTACAAAAGGTGAAATAATATGAGTATTTTGACCACTAAATCAAATAATAGATCTCAAATAAAACAAATTCACCTTTGATACTTAAGTTATTTACTTCAATAAGTGCTTATTTTAAATAATAGAGTTAAATGGATAACATGTCCTAAACTATGACTATAATTCTAAATTAGTCCTTAAACTTTTGAACATTTTAATTTCATCCTCAAATTATGACCTTCATTTAAATTGGTCCCAAACTTTTTGAATATTTCAATTTCATCCCAAACTATACATTTATACTAATCACATCTCTTGTTAATAAAATTGTTAGGCCAAGTTATATTATTATATGTTTAAAAAACAAAATTTGGGTTAAACTATGGTTGAAATTGATTACATATTTGGATGAATTTAGGGATGGAATTTGAATATTCAAAGTTTGTGGGGACCAATTTAAAAAGAGGACCATGGTTTAGGGATGGAATTAGAATGTTCAAAAGTTCAAGGACTAATTTAGAATGAGAGTCATAGTTTGAGGATGAAATTGGAATATTTAAAAGTTTAAGGATCTATTTAAAATGAGGGTTATAGTTTGGGGACATATGATGCAATTAATTCTAAATAATATTTTAATTAATTTTAACCCAAGGAAGTAAATGTCAGAAACACCCTTGAGGGATTTGTATTCTTAGCTTAGGATTTAGATTGCTTCATGGAATATTTTTGGAAGAAGGAATAAAGAAGTGAATTGCAAGGGAAGTAATTGGAAGTACAGATGACAGTGGCATTTTTTTCTAATTGTAGTTAAAATTTTGGGAATAAGTGTTGTGGTGAAATCACTTTTTGAAATGTGAAACTCTTTCTTCATGTTGTTGAACAATAAAGAGATCCTTTAAAATTAGGGCAATATCTTGCTCCCAAGGTCTTTCCATTTATATCTTGTTTCTTTTCTTTTTTGGTACAATGGAATCTTCAAAGTTTTGGGAAAATTACTGATGTTGAAATTTAAACTTAGAGTTATTATGATTTATTTCATTTGATTAATATGGAGTAAGTATAATATAATATTTGTTCAAAGATAACTCTCAATCATTTGACATTAAACATTCACAATTATTATGATTTATTGGATATTAATGATTGTAAAAAAAATTCTTCTCGATATAACCTATATTTTTACTGCATTTTAGCTCATGGGTTGTGAACAGCAAATTTGCCTGTTTATCCAAATATATGAACAGGAAACAAAAACACTTTGTCATGGATAAATCGGTTAAGTTTGCTATGAGTTTTTGTATTATATTAAAAAGTAATTTAATCTTTTTATTATAGAAAATATTTTTCAACTCCTATGTGTTTGAGAAAGTCAATATTTTACTTTAAAAAGTAAGGATCCTTAAAAGATTTTGAAATTTTAGGTGTGATTGAGTTTTGTATTATGGTTTACACACTCTTTAATTATCTATCAATTTTGAAATTTTAAAATTGATCCTTAAAAAATAATTTATTCCACATATATTTCAAGATACATGTTTAGGTGTGTTTGAATAATTTTTTTTTAAAAAAAAGATAGTAAAAGAATAAAAACTTGTATTATTTCTTAATTTTGAAAATTTTAATGAAACTCTTGTTCTCATTCTAAATCTAAAAATACTAACTAAAATCTTGGTTGTTTTTATTGATGATTTATTATTATTTTTAACTTTTACATGAAATTTCTTAAAAGCTTATAAAATTTAAACATAAAATTAGATAGGGTTCATAATGTTGGTTTTTTTGTGTGTGCTTTTGACTATGACTTGAAGTCTTTGTTGCAGAGTTATAAATGCTTGTAGCTTTTGTATATTTTATATGTTAGATTCTACTAATAGTATGTTGTGTAATTGATTTTGATTTAAATAAATTGACTTTTAAAAATCATATTCTAACTTAAAGTTCAATTGTTTTCCTTTGAATAGTAATAAAACTAAAATTCAAAAGGAAATATGAAATGTTTGCTTCATGTGTTATTTCTTGGTGTTAATATAGAAAGGGTAAGGAACAAAAATACTAATGATATTTCTGATCATTACAATTTCAAAAGTTACGAAACAATTTTTAAATTTGTTCAAGTTTATCACTATTTATAACATGCAATAACTATATGTAATAATTTGATAAGTTTAATGATTAGTTATAAATCCTAAAATTTAACAACTAAAAGATTATTTTTGACATAGTTTAGTGACCATTCATATAATTTAACACATATAAAAACTAGTATATGTCGATGTTTTGTTGAAAATTTTAATGAAACTCTTGTTCTCATTCTAAATCTAAAAATACTAACTAAAATCTTGGTTGTTTTTATTGATGATTTATTATTATTTTTAACTTTTACATGAAATTTCTTAAAAGCTTATAAAATTTAAACATAAAATTAGATAGGGTTCATAATGTTGGTTTTTTTTTGTGTGCTTTTGACTATGACTTGAAGTCTTTGTTGCAGAGTTATAAATGCTTGTAGCTTTTGTATATTTTATATGTTAGATTCTACTAATAGTATGTTGTGTAATTGATTTTGATTTAAATAAATTGACTTTTAAAAATCATATTCTAACTTAAAGTTCAATTGTTTTCCTTTGAATAGTAATAAAACTAAAATTCAAAAGGAAATATGAAATGTTTGCTTCATGTGTTATTTCTTGGTGTTAATATAGAAAGGGTAAGGAACAAAAATACTAATGATATTTCTGATCATTACAATTTCAAAAGTTACGAAACAATTTTTAAATTTGTTCAAGTTTATCACTATTTATAACATGCAATAACTATATGTAATAATTTGATAAGTTTAATGATTAGTTTATAAATCCTAAAATTTTAACAACTAAAAGATTATTTTTGACATAGTTTAGTGACCATTCATATAATTTACACATATAAAAACTAGTATATGTCGATGTTTTGGTTTGTAATTATAATATTATTGTAAACGAAGATAATAAAATCTAAAGTTACAATAGAAACTAATTTTACATCTACATTTCTTAAATAATATTATAGATCTCTGACTAATTTTTCTTCATCTATATTTCTTTTTTCCGACCACAATATTTCTTTGATTTGACTAACAAAAATTCCAATACAACAAAAAGGTCCCAAACTTCAATTTTAATGGCATCTTGTCTGTTTCTTGTCTCCAATGCATGGATATCATGCATAAAGCATGTCTTTAAATCAAATATATACTGAAATTATTTAAGGAATATATGTGTCATTTTAGTCAGAAAGAAAATATCTTCACTGTCCGCTCCATTACCATTTTCTTCATATTCAAGAAAAGAATGCTTTATTACTTATTTTCTTCAATTAATTGATTTTAAAAACCAAATTAAAGTTTGTATATTTTTTAAATTTTATAGAATAATTTTTCTTAAATTTGTTGATGGTAAAATAGTAGTTGTCACGGTTGATAATAGTTTACTCCTTTCGATTTAGATGAAGAGTCGTGATCTGTGATTCTGATTAACTAAAGAAGATGACACACAGAATATAAAGAAGGGTTGAGAGAGAGAAAGAGAGAGATCTTCCCCTTTAGTTTTACATGATAGTTTATATATATACCTTTAGCATTGGTGTCAAATATATTATGATAAACATTTATAAGTCAGTAGGGTGAGTAAATCTTATCATCATATAGTAGATTTAGTTAGTGATAAGATTAATACTGTTGAATGATGAAGCTGTTATTGAATGATGAAGCTATGTGTACGGTTAGTGGATAGTTAGGAAGCTGTTAGAAATGGTTGTTAGTTGTTAACTGTTCGAAATGGTTGTTAGTTGTTAAGCAGTTATAGAAGTTGGTTGTAAACTCTTGTATATAAAGAGTGTTATAGTTCAATTAATAACATGCATTATGGTTTGATGATTTGCTGGTATAGTTACTTCCTCACATGGTATAGGTTACATGTGTTTAGCAGCTAGTGGCAGAATATATATTTCCAGACATGTTATCTTTGATGAGTTTACCTTTCCTTTTGCAGGGCTGAAGGATCGAGTAATACACCTCGAGTTAATAAAAAAGGTCTGTTGAACTTGAAATTGTCACTGACATAAGGAAGTTTCGAGGCAACTTGGCTGGTGCAGGACAAGGAATAACTTCTGATGACATAAATCTGGCTGCCTTGACTGAAGCTGTTCCACAGGAAAATGTTAGTGCGGGTGAAACTAGTATGGATTCCCTAGAAGTTGCTACTCAACAAGGTATTGATGAAGAAGGTGGTGTAGTTAGTGCAACTAAAGATGTTGAGTTAGCAAACCAAAGGCAGACTGTGGCAGTGACTGGTTCATTTGACAATGATGCCTCTTTAAGAAAGGGAAATGGTGCCAGTTTATTGAACCACCATTCGATACTGACAAGAAGTAAATATGCAATATTTAAGCCTAAAGTGTATGTGGCTAGCTATGATGACATAGAACCCCTTAATGTTCATGAAACAATTTAGTCACCTCATTAGAGAGTAGCAGTGCATTCTGAGGTTGAAGCTCTAAGAAAGAATGGTACGTGGACCCTAGTGAAACTACCTGAAGGACGATCAGTGGTGGGGTGTAAATGGATGTTCAAATTGAAAAAGAACCCTGATGGCTCTATAGCAGGTATAAAGATATATGAGTAGCTAAAGGTTTTTCTCAAATGCTAGGAAATGAATTTGGTGAAACATTCAGTCCAGTTGTTAGGTTTGCAACGTTGAATGTAGTTCTTTCACTAGATGTTACAAATGGCTGGTAGTTACGCTAGGTGGACGTGAACAATGCGTTTCTGTATGGTGATCTGCATGAAGAGGTGTTCATGTAGCAGCCACCTGGTTTCGAGCAAGTAGTTGTAGATGGTAGTCCCTTGGTGTGTAGATTAGAAAAAGCGTTGTATGGGTTACGCCAAGCCCCTCGAAACTGGCATGAAAAATTGAAGAATTGCCTAGTTAAGATCGGGTTTAAAGAGTCTTCAGCAGATACTTCTCTGTTTGTTCTCTAGGAAGATGGTAAATGTATCTACATACTCGTGTATGTTGATGATATAGTGTTGACTAGAGGTTCGAATGAACAGACTGAAAAGTAGTGAAATTGCTTGGGAGAGAGTTTTCCTTGAAGGATCTTGGTGATCTACATTACTTTTTGGGCATAAAAGTTAAGCGTCGTGGTAGCTCATTAATTCTTAGTCAAAGGAAGTTTATTCTAGAATTGTTGATGAGGACAAAAATGAGCACTGCAAATCCTGCATCTACACCAATGCTTGTGTTTGCTAAATTGAGTAAAGATACGGGGGAGTTGCTTCAGGATGCTTATGAATATCAAAGCATTGTAGGTGCATTATTGTATGCTTGTCACACTCTTCCATACATAACATTTAGTGTGAACAAGGTAGCACAATACATGCATGCTCCAAGATAAGAACATCTTGTTGTTGTTAAGAGGTTTTTGAGGCATTTAGTGGGAACTATTAATCATGGCTTGGTCGTTGCACCGACAGTAACAGGATTCAATGTAGTAGCTTTTGCTGATGCTGATTGGGCTACAAGCGCTGATGATCGCAAATCTATCTTGGGCTATTGTGTGTTTATAGGTGATATCTTGTAATGTGGAACTCGAAGAAACAAAAGTCAGTTTCCAGATCGACTATGGAAGTTGAGTATAGAAGTGTAGAAGATGTTACTGCTGAAACAACATGGGTGGATGCTCTCCTAAATGATTTAGGCGTTGCAAGGCAGAAAATCCCAATAATTTGGCGTGATAACAACAGTGTTGTAGCCATGACAACTAATCCTGTCTATCATTCAAAGAGTAAACATGTTGAACTTGATGTTCACTTTGTTCGTGAGAAGGTGGTTGATGAACTATGTTCCAGGAAGTCATCAGATTGTTGATGGATTCAAAAAGCCATTAACTGCTGCTCATTTTGAAGTGTTTAAAGCCAGGGTGAATGTGCAGTCTTTTTTGTGGGAGAAAGAAGAAGAAGTACGAAGAATATTGAATGATGAAGCTGCTATTGAATGATGAAGCTCTGTGTACGGTTAGTGGATAGTTAGGAAGCTGTTAGAAATGGTTGTTAACTGTTAACTGTTAGAAATGGTTGTTAGTTGTTAGTTGTTAAGCAGTTATAGAAGTTGGTTGTAAACTCTTGTATATAAAGAGTGTTATAGTTCAATGAATAACATGCATTCTGGTTTGATGATTTGTTGGTGTAGTTACTTTCTCACATGGTATCAATCGCCATAAGTTCCTGGAGTCCTCTGTTTCTTGCTGCGTAATTGAGAGTGTACTTGTTGAGCGTGGAAGATGGTTATCCAACAAGTTTGATATGGTATTCTTGGTTGATTAACAGATCTTTAAGGTGTTTCTTGTTATTCTTTTGTGGTTTCATGTTCACTAACAAGAAAATCAATATGGTATTGGATGAAACAAAACTCTTGTTATGGAAACAACAAGTTTTACTTACTGTTCGTAGTCATAGACTTAAGCGCATTCTCACCGGTGTTATGCAATATCCACCGGAGATGACTATTGATGAAGATGGAAGCATAGTTCCCAATGAAGCGTATGGTGATTTTGTAGCCCAAGACAGTGTGTGTTAGCGTCGTGGTTGCTGTCTACCATTAGTCCACATCTTCTGTCTCAGTTTTCGGGAGCTGAGACAGCTGCATCGATATGGGCTACGGTGTTGCAATACTTTGCAACCAGGTCTTCAACCTCCGTGATGAGCTTACATTGTAAACTCTAGTCTCTCAAGAAAGGAGAAGACAATATGCGGGTTTACATTGCTAAAGTCAAAAAGATTTGTGAAGCCTTGGCTTCATGTGGAAGCCCGATTCCTCTTGTAGGGCATATTGCCAGTATTTTGAAAAGGCTACCGCATGAATATCATCCATTTATGGCTGTTATTACATCGAGTGGTGACATGTTGCCCTTAGATAAAGTTTGTACCATGTTGATAGATGCAGAGACATAAATTGATGGTTTTGCATCTCAAGAAGAAACCGTGATGGCTGCGACTCATGTTGCTCGTGGGGATGGATGCTTCAGGTGATTACTCTAAATGATCATATTCAAGCTATAATAGAGATCATGTGACTGCTGCTCGGTCAGGTGATAGGACAGGTGGTCGAGCAGGTCATGGATGAGGCGGACCGCGTGTTCAGTGCCAACTTTATGGTAAAATTGGGCACTTAATTGATCGGTGTTGACACCGTTATGATGAATCCTTTCAAATTGTTAGAAACAATCAATCAAGGTATGATGAAGAACCTACTCAGGCTCACACTGTTGTGTATGATAAATGTGCATGTATGTATTATTCGAAGGGGTCTCGGTTACATGATTTGATCAGTGTTGATGCATCAATAGCTGAGCAGGATCAATGAGTCATTGACTCTGGACATTTTACTCCAGATGCAGATGTTGTAACTCAAAAATCTGGTTGCAGTGGTCCAGGTAAGCTAGTTGTGGGTGATGATGCTTTATTACCTGTCGATTTGGTTGGCAGTATGGTCATGAATTCTGCTTCTAGAGTACTGCTAGTCAATTACTTACTTCATGTACCTAACATAACACAAAATTTGGTATCTGTGTCCAAGTTTGGTAGGGATAACAATGTGGTGTTTGAGTTTTATGCACAAGGTTGTTGTGTCCGTGATGCAGTTAATAGAGAGGTGTTTCTTCGAGGTAGAATGCAAGAAGGACTTTATGTGTTTCCTAGTACTACTATGTCGAGTGCTTGTAAAAATGCATGTGTCAATGTTGCTATAACTAGTGATGTTTACAGTCTTTGGCATAAGAGGTTAGGGCATGCAACATATGATACAATTGCTAGTGTATGCAAAGCCATTGATGTACAAGTTAATAAAAATGTAAATAAAATTTGTGAAGCATGTTCCATTGGCAAAAGCCATAAGTTGCCTTTTTGCCATTCCAAAACTGTTTATACTGGACCTTTTCAACTTGTGTGCACTGATATATGGGGACCAACTCATGTAGCTTCAAATGGCTATCACTACTATTTGTCGTTTTTTATGTTTACTCAAAACACAGTTGGGTTTATTTTTGGAAAGATCGATCACAAACAGTAAACACGTTTAAGGTGTTTCAGCAGATGGTTGCAACTCAGTTTGGACTGGCTGTGAAGGCTGTGCAAAGTGACTGGGGTGGAGAGTATCGCAGTCTATCAGCTGTGTTGTTAAGAGAAGGGGTTGTACATCGTGTTACTTGCCCCCATACATCTAAACAAAATGGTGTGGTCGAAAGGAAGCATCAAAACATCATTGAGCTTTCCTTGGTTTTGATAGCACAAGCTGCCATGCCCTTGCATTACTGGTATTATGCAACTGTTACTGCATTATTTCTTATCAATCGACTTCATACTAGAGTCTTGGATGGGCTGTCACCCTATGAGAAATTGTTTGGGAAGAAGCCAGATTATGGTGTCATAAAAGTCTTTGGGTGTAAATGCTTTCCTCACTTGAGGTTGTTCCAGCAGCATAAACTTGAATTTCGTTCTCAACCATATACATTCCTCGGTTACAACCCTCATCACAAAGGCTACATGTGTTTAGCAGCTAGTGGCAGAATATATATTTCTAGACATGTTATCTTTGATGAGTTTACCTTTCCTTTTGCAGGGCTGAAGGATCGAGTAATACACCTCAAGTTAATAAACAAAGGTCTGCTGAACTTGAAGTTGTCACTGACATAAGGTAATTTCAAGGCAACTTGGCTGGTGCAGGACAAGGAACAACTTCTGATGACATAAATTTGGCTGCCTTGACTGAAGTTGTTTCACAGGAAAAGGTTAGTGCATGTGAAACTAGTATGGATGAGAACTCTGGTCGTATGAGTCAGGATATGGTTGACATGGGTGAAACTTCCCAAGAAGCTGCTACTCAACAAGGTATTGATGAAGAAGGTGTTGTAGTTGGTGCAACTGAAGCTGTTGAGTCAGCAAACCAAAGGCAGACTGTGGCAGTGACTGGTTCATTTGACAATGCTACCTCTTTATGAGAGGGCAATGGTGCCAGTTTTTGAACCACCATTCGATGCTGACAAGGAGTAAATGTGGGATATTTAAGCCTAAAGTGTATGTGGCTAGCTATTATGACATGAGACCCCTTAATATTCATGAAGCGATTCAGTCACCTTATTGGAGAGAAGCAGTGTATGCCGAGGTTGAAGCTCTAAGAAAGAATGGTACATGGACCCTAGTGAAACTACCTGAAGGATGATCAGTGGTGGGGTGTAAATGGATGTTTAAATTGAAAAAGAACCCTGATGGCTCTATTAGCAGGTATAAAGCTAGATTAGTAGCTAAAGGTTTTTCTCAAATGCCAGGACATGATTTTGGTGAAACATTCAGTCCAGTTGTCAGGTTTGCAACGTTGAATGTAGTTCTTTCACTAGCTGTTACAATTTGTTGGCAGTTATGCCAGGTGGACGTGAACAATGCATTTCTGCAAGGTGATCTGCATGAAGAGGTGTTCATGTAGCAGCCACCTAGTTTCAAGCAAGTAGCTGCAGATGGTAGTCCCTTGGTGTGTAGATTAGAAAAAGCGTTGTATGGGTTATGCCAAGCCCCTCGAAACTGGTATGAAAAATTGAAGAATTGCCTAGTTAAGATCGGGTTTAAAGAATGTTCAGCAAATACTTCTCTGTTTGTTTGTTGGGAAGATGGTCAATGTATCTACATACTCGTGTATGTTGATGGTATAGTGTTGACTGGAGGTTCCAATGAACAGACTAAAAAGTAGTGAAATTGCTTGGGAGAGAATTTGCCTTGAAAGATCTTGGTGATCTACATTACTTTTTGGGCATAGAAGTTAAGCGTTGTTGTAGCTCATTAATTCTTAGTCAAAGGAAGTTTATTCTAGAATTGTTGATGAAGAAAAAAATGAGCACTGCAAATCCTGCATCTACACCAATGCTTGTGTCTGCTAAATTGAGTCAAGATGCGGGGGAGTTGCTTCAAGATGCTTATGAATATCGAAGCATTGTAGGTGCATTATTGTATACTTGTCACACTCGTCCAGACATAACATTCAGTGTGAACAAGGTAGCGCAGTACATGCGTACTCCATGAGAAGAACATCTTGCTGTTAAGAGGATTTTGAGGTATTTAATGGGAATTATTAATCATGGCTTGGTGGTTGCACCCGCAGTAGCAGGATTCAATGTAGTAGCTTTTGCTGATGTTGATTGGGCTACAAGCGCTGATGATCGCAAATCTGTCTCGGGCTATTGTGTGTTTGTAGGTGATAATCTTGTAATGTGTAACTCGAAGAAACAAAAGTCAGTTTCCAGATCAGCTATGGAAGTTGAGTATAGAAGTTTAGCAGATGTTACTGCTGAAACAACATGGGTGGATGCTCTCCTAAATGATTTAGGTGTTGCAAGGCAGAAAATCTCAAAAGTTTGGTGTGATAATAAAAGTGCTGTAGCCATGACAGCTAATCATGTCTATCATTCAAAGAGTAAACATGTTGAACTTGATATTCACTTTGTTCGTGAGAAGGTGGTGTTGAAGCAAGTGTTGGTGAACTATGTATCAGGAAGTCATCAGATTGCTGATGGATTCACAAAGCCATTAGCTGCTG